CTGGTGAATGGTTCAGCATGCTTTGTACTTACTAGCAATTCACCTCCACTGAAATAAGTCTGGGGAGCATGGAGGATGTTGTCTGGTCCCACTGTATTTTCTACAGATATCTATACTTTTTAGGAGATGCTGGGGTGGTGAAGAGGTGGTGGGGAGTTCTCACAGTTACACTTAGTAAATCAGAAATGGCTCTTCTACACATACCTAATTCCTTAATCTGTTTTTGTCCCTTACAGGAGCTTTCAAGGAGACCTTGTTCTGCACATTCAGTAGCAATATAGTCACTCACGACTCCACACATGTTGCAGGATTCCATAAACTATTGTAGCAGTGGTATGTGTACATTACAGCAATATACTTGAAAGCTGAATACCATTTTATGGATTAATTCTTATAGACAATGACTTTAGAATTGTCATAGCAGGAAGCAATGAATGGCTTAAGTTACCAGCAAGGAAGAACTTTCAGAAGAATAGTAGTACTATTTCATACTACTTATCTACCATTAGCACTGTTTAGAGCCCTTGAAAGTGACATTGATAACTGAAGGAGAGGTCTCCTTTTGCTTATACTTCTGGAAGCAGGTTGCAGAAGAGACAAAAGAAAAGAAAATTAAGATTTTAAACATTCTGTTGTATTCAAACGTACATTGTTGGATGCAGGCCAGTATAAGCCATGCATATAAAATGTAAGTAGGAATGACATTCAGAACTATAATTTATCAGCCACTGTGATGTCAATTCTGACTTTCCTGATCTAAACATGGGGTTTATTCCTCTTGGGAGATTTCCAGGTATAGGAATTGATTCAGCACAAACTCTGCTGAGGTCATTCTCTGAGGAATCATTAGCAATAGCCCTTTGAGCCTACATGATTGTTCTGTCAATGGTGTGAGCCAAGTAGCAGAATACATCACAAAAAATAGATTTAAGACATTGTTCACTGTCCAAATGACTTATTTCCATTTGCTGGTGAGTTCCATGGATGGCCACACTTAGTTCCTATACTACCTGTTTTTTTTTCCCTGCAGGAGAAATTATTAACTTTGCTCCTACTACCTCTCCTGCTGTTTCTTCCATAATTCTTCCACAGGTTTAACATCGGTTTTGGGATCAACAAGAAGAGCTTTTCAAGTTTTTATCCGTGCTGACACAGCCCACACCAAATAGGAGTAACAAAGAAAATTGTGCTAGTAAAAGTGTATTTGATAAAAAGATAGCAGATACATGTAGCTTAACTGCTAACAGTAGAAAATTACACCACCAATAGTACAAACATTGTAGTATTCATCAGCATAGTAACAAGCAAGAAATACTAGGAATAGAGCATTATAGCCAATTTTTTTCAGACTTTGGCATCAAACCGTAAGCATTCAGGGAACAATCAAGGTTTTTAATCATAGTATCTAGTTTAACTTTAGACTCCCTCTGACATTACACTTAGTTTGCAGTTGCTAAAACAGTGTCCTGCGGGTTGGGTTCATGAATGTCAGTCCTGGATATTCTAGGATATATAAAATGATAGCATAAAACTATGCTTAGGCACATGATCTACTTCTCTACGTTCAGATTTGGCCATTTGAACACAAGTCACTTACTTAGACATTTTCAGAGGTGCTGAAATTATCAATGAAACCTTTTTTTCTATAGTTTACTTTTGTTTTGAAGCTTGATAAAGACTTATTTAAAAGGAATCAAACGCTAATAAAATTGTTATAAAAATGAAACAATTTTGTCAGATCACATGAAACATCGTGCTCAACTTATATAACAGCTACAAGCAATGACACATGCACCACTCTGTTTCATTACTGATAATATTTATACTGACGAATATTAATGCTGCTGTTATGATTTCTGATTTGTTCAAAAAATTGAAATAAGCCCATTTCATATTAATGTCTACAGCTTTTCCTTTTTTGTTTTGATACAACAGGCAAATTAAATGTTATTCACACACTTCTAATTCCTGGTAACTGAGCAACAATGTAATTTACTGGAGACATCTACCTTACAAAACAGTACGGCATCTGGTAAAGCACATGCAACAGGTAATATAGCTTTTTGTCTCTCTCACAAATGGGAAAGAGACATCCATTACCAAAAGTCTTAATGTGTGCTATTAATGTCATTAAGCAAATGTGGAACTCAGAAATTGAAAAGCAGCCACTAAGGGTGGGAAACAGCTGTCCAGCAGGAGACAGGAATAGCCTAAGAAAAGGGTAAATATAAGAGAGGGAGACAACCTTAAATGTTACGAACTGAGAACATAAGAGAGTTAAAACACCCCTGATGGAAGTCATTTCACATGCATTTAGACACCTGCAGTATAAATATCTGTATTTGAGCAAGTCACCTAAGGCTGTTTTTATAGTCAAAAATTCATCTCACATTTAGTCAGATAAATCCCACCCCCCATTACATAAAAGCAGCAGACTTTTGAGACGAGGCTGGTTCCCTGTATCTCTGCTGCCAACACATTACTGTGAAGAGCATTACATTACAGTTGCATCATCATCTTGCAACTCAAGACATTTATGCAGGTAGTTTCCAGAAGGAACCAGGGCATTGGTATAACATATCTTCTGGATTCTTTGTAAACCTCAGCTCTGGTGTCCTCCAACCATCATTCACAAAGAAAACTTTGGACAAATCTTTTCATACAGACTTAAACACCAGCATAAATATGTAAAATTACCGGAAGACTACTAAGGATGGAATTCGTCATGGGTTTCTTTACTGAGAATACGTGATTTTTTTCCTTGGCCTGATAACATTTACTATGCACAATAATAAAGGTTTTTTTTAAGATCAAGGTTAAAGAATTTTGTCAGTAATAAAAATAACTTTCTAACCACTTAATTGAATGGTACTAAGTGCACAGTACTTAGTGCCAGCTTCTTGAAATTTGAGTTATGAATAGTTCTGCTGTCAAAGAAATTCCACAATTTCATATTCAAGTCTTGTTTGTGTGGGAAAACACTACTGCTTAAGAGAGCTTGCAACAGGAGCCGTAATACCTTAATTTTGCTAACATTACATCTGACTTACTGCTGGATATGCTTCTCATTCTGCTATGTTGCCCAGGAGGCAGGCAATGGTCCTGGGATATCACGAGCCTAGTTTAATTTCTACAATGCACTCAATATCAGCCTTTTGATTCTTCCCTCAAATCTTTAGAGGCTTCCCAGGGCCAGCTGCAGGACAGCTGAAATTAGGACCGATATTTCTATGCGAAGCCTGTTTCACTTCTCTTACATAAACCCATAGTTTGATTCAAGCTTGACACAACAAGCTAAAATCACTTAGATGCCTTGAAAAATAACAGATTCTGAATATTCAGTCCAATATTTTAAGATCTCAGATGCAAACTGCATCTTGCTTTTCAGGAGTTAAAACAACATGAGCTTGCCTTATCACAAGAGCTGAGCATACATACTGTTACTGTGTGTCAGTGGGACCCAGGTCTCTTCCCATCCCCAGAGAAGTGCACCACAGCATCTTCGAGTTCAATATTCAAGAATTGAATATTGGCTAGTGTAAACCATCTACCAGATTATTTGCATAATTTTTTTTAGTGTAATTCTACCTCTGTACAATGGGTTTAATCGTGCCTTCATTTCAGAGGAATAAAATTGCTACAGTGAAAATAACACCACCAAAATGCTATTTTGTTGTAGTCAAGCACTACAGTGAAAATAACAACAGAAGACTCTTTGGAGAGATAAACTTGTTTCAGATGTCACACAGAACACGTTGCCATGGTGAAGATAAAACTCTTTACTTACTTTTATTACACTGGGACCATCCATCCATAGGAGGATGACAGGAACCTGTGGGGAAAAAAATATATATGGTCATGTTAAAAACAGAAATAAAAACATCTAGAAGCAGCAATTCTTAAGAAAAAAGAGAAAAAAATTGTCACTTGCTAGAATCTTATTTGCAGAATAGCTGTTTTAGCAGGTTAAGAGGCTACCATGCCAGCTTTTCCTTCTCTAGTCAATTCAGCATAGACTCCTGAAGACAGCCAGCACTGGAACTTCGGCCATTTAAGGGAAAATCTGGTATTACAGAGTAGGCCAACAAAGAAATGGACTTCTAGTTATGGCAATGGTGCTCATTGAAGCAGTTATGGAATTAACTCATGTCCAGAATATGGAAGATGCATATGATAACTTCTTACCACAGAAAATTTTGCCTGAGCTTTTATGGCAGCGTCTTAACCTCCATAAATAATTGAAAGACCTGCTTTCCATTTGGGAACCTAAAGGCAACTAATGAACAGGAAAAGAAAAAAATTCCCACCAAAATTGGGAAAAAATGGTTCTCATCCTTATCCTTGGAAATCTGCAGTCAGGTAATTTATTAACATTGGCTTTTGCCTATTAAAAGCTGTATATTTTTCCCTGAACCATATTCTGTGCACACTAGAGAAATAAATTTGCACAAGCAGTCTTTATTCTGATATTTTCTAGCTTTTTATTCTTAGGGTTTGCCTTCCTAAGGATATTAATTCACACAGTTTTCATGCATGACAAAGAATCTGCCAGTGTTAGTAAAACATCAGATTTTGCATTCATAATGACAAAATTTTCGTTTGTATTTCTAATTCACTGACAAATGTATATGAGCTCTACCTTGTTACCCTGAATGATCACCCTATCTGTCAGTTTAAATAATTTTCACTTTTCTTACTCTTCATACCTTCATTCCTTCAAACATTATTTCTGTTTTGGTTACTATATCCTTCTACAACAAACCTCCACAACTTTAACTAATCTATCTTTTCTAAAATACCTGTTTTCTTATATTTCAGTAACTGGTGATCTAGTGTTTCATTTACTCTGTCTTTCTGTATAACTTTTGTTACCTTATTTAGCCCTTGAAAACACCCACAGGGAATATTACCTCAGCATCTTATCAGAACCGTAAAATTGAACCTACAGTTCTGATGTGCAATATGCTATTACAGTATCTTCACAAGGGCATCCTGCATGTACCAGGTTAATATCTACTGATGTGCTAATGTAGTAATGACCTATCTTCCTCTGCTCCTCTCTGGGGTACTTTCTGTCTATAGGGATGGGAATTAATGACAGTCTCTCTGTGCTGCCTGATGTCAGAGCTGAGAAAGGTGTGAAGGGTATATAAGAGCCGTATTACTTGTCAGCAAGGAAAGGCGAAAAGGGATACTCCAGAGCTAGATGCAAGCGTGGAACTGTTGTATGCACCCTACTTGCTAACACAGGCGTGGGTCTTCAGTTAGCTCCCTGACCATCACAAGGTAAACAATTTCCCTTTTTTTTCTTACTTGAGATGCAGTGCAACAGATGTGCTTTCAGGAAAGCACAATGTTTCTCACTATTAATCAACAGCATTTTTTCAGGAAAAGGCTATGATAGCTTCAAGGTAAATTGCACCTGGGACCAGAATTTGAGACTGGGACTTGTTAAAAACTACAAATCATAGATAAGGGAAAGGACTGGAATTTCTAGGTGGAAAATGAAAATTTATTGTTGAGTCCTACCTGTCTGAAACTGTGTTGTGCCACTAAACTTACTCTAGCCTGTGAAAAAGACTAGCTGTTGTTGATTTAGGACACAATGGGTATCAGTAATATAATACGCTGAAGAGTATTTGAGTTAGCTTTCAGGTTTGAATCATTATTCTTTTCAGAAAGTTTGGAAGCAAAGATGTGCAACCTGAAGCTGTCAGTTTTCTTCATTGCACTTTCTGTCACTCTGAGCTGTTTGGAAGCTACACCTATCGAGAAGTGAGTAATAAGTAATCATATTCATTTCTTTTAGAAGAAAACTTGTTCACTTTATTGCATTAATTGCTTTTGCTTTCATATATCAAATAACATGAGAAAGAAATAGAGGTATTCAATTTCATAGGATATTTTATTGTTGTTTAAAGATTATTATCTGTGGCTGATGATCTATCTGATGGTACTTCCAAGAGACAAGGATGGGTATTGCCGGTAATGTCACAGAATACACCCTCAGGACTTAGTGAGGAAATGCCAGAACAACCAGCAGCAAAGACAAAAAGGTATTGATTTTCCTTGTTTCTTCTAGTTATATCAGCTAGGATTAAATTATACAGTGATATTCTGTTACTTGAGACAATCTGTCTGTTGTTCATTCTTAAAAAAAAGCTTAAAATATCCTTCTTACAAATAGAGCCATTCTGTAAGCATAATAATAAAAGCATTCGTGGTAGAAAGTGAAATCCAGAGACAAAAGTTGCAGATGATTAAATCACTTTACAATTATAATGCTTTCATAAATTAAAAAGGTTACAAATACTACACTACCTAGAGAAGAAAGGCGTATTTTGAAAGGTCCTTCTTTATTAAATTTGTCGCATTTCCAAGCCTGAAGGGAAAAAAAAGAAAATACACCTTTCTTAATAACACTAATGCTCTGCCAGAATGGAATTATTTTATAGCATAATTGTTTCCTGGATTTACGTAATATTTCATTACAGAGTTAAATATCAATTTAATCATGGGAAAAAAGGAAAGAAGAAATCGGCTCTGATAGAATTTAACTAGTCTGAAATGCATTCATGTTTATAAATGCATAAATCAAAGTTCAGGTAACTTATTAATGAATAAAATAACATTTCAAAAAGTATCTGCAGTTTGTACTAGAAGATAAACAGCACTGAACTATCCTATGTTCATCAGGCTTTTGAGTGAGTTTCTTTGAATGACAATTCTGTTATGAGCAGATTCAGTAAATACAAGTGTCTATATAGTTGCCTGCTGCTTTCTCTTTGAGTACATTAAAAAAAATATCATTATTGTATGACAATTTGGTTATCTTCCAAAATATTTTGATAATGGAGACTAGGTTCCCACATTTTTATGGTATTACTAAAAAAAAACAATAATTGTAGTACTCAAACACAAAGCATCACCTTTATGAGTGTTGCATGCCCTATTTGCTTTTCTGGGGCCCTGGTATACCTTACTGGGTGAACTGTCTCGTTCAAGCACATGTTCAACTAAAGGCTACAGATTAGAAAGCTAACAGGTGTACTGGGCTCAGTCAGGCTAGATATCAGCTAGAAATCCAGCAGTTTCCTGTCAGGACTGGGCTTTTAAACTTGGAGTTTCAGGGCCTGATTTTGTACCTTGGATGAAAAAGAATTTTGCTTCCACAAACAAATGAGGATTTCCTTGAGAACCACTCACTGTTTGAACCTCATATGTTAAAGCCTCGAGTAAATTCTTTTTAAATCAACAGAAATACCCATGAAAATCTAAAGGAATCTGTATCAAGCCTTATCCAACCATTTCCTTTAAAAACAATTACATATTTAAAATAGTAATTGCTTAGAAATTGCTCCTGTTTGCCAGTATAAACCAGTATAATACAAATATTCCTCTCACAGTTGCTATTCCATTTGGATACTTAGATCAATACAAATAACTCCTAAAGAATAGATGACATTTCAGGTACCAGATTTAACCACTCAGTAGGAAAAGGAACTCATTGGTGATTGCCCAGAGTTTGAAACTGGGAAATTGTTATTCCTCACAGTAAATTTTTGCTGCAAACTGTTGTCTACCTGATGCCACATCAACATGAAGAAGCCCAAGAAAATTAACAGTTAAGTCAGTAAGCAGTTTCAGCAAGCAAACATTTCTATCTGAAGGGAAAACATAGTGGTCAAAGAAACAAAACTGAAAACCCAAGCTCTCTAAAGCTAACAGTTTTATAGTAATTAAAAAAAAAAAAAGAGAGAGAAAAAAAAGAAGTAAATCTCATGCTACATAAGTTCCAAATGGAGTTCTGAAAATGGTCTGTTGGTTCAGACCATAAAGTGATTTTAGATATGGCTTCTTCTGTGGACACTCTTTAGAGTCTCATCCAGCAAAGTATTATCTCCTACGACAACAGCATTTTGAAGTTGTTGGTGTTTCAAGAAAGAAATGGCAGTTTTTCAATAGTGAATAAATCTCTCTTTACCCAGAGCTAAATATTAAGTGGTACAGAGGTTGGAAGAAGGTGGCAATGCCTGCCACCTCTCACGATGTATGGCAGAGTTGAGAGAAAGTATCTTTGGACTCAGTCCACTTGATGTGGGCTGGAATATTACTGTTGACTTCAGTAAGAGCAGGATATGATTCTGTGAGAACTAAATAAATATTAGTGATTGTCATTATGTTACTAATCCTCATGATATCAGCAAGAGCTCTAAAATAGAAGTTCAGCTTAAAGCTAAACATTTAGTCATTGTTTTCACTTACTGTCTTAACTATACTATCATTACAGGTTTTCTACATGTCATAAACTGCTATGTGGAATATCAATACAAAAGACATATGACTGTTAAGGCTTTTGCATTTAAATAAACCCCATCATTAAAACTGGTAATAGCATGCAGCGCAAGATTTTTTCAGGAACAAAGTAGGTGGTAGGAAGATTGTAATGTTCCTGTATTTGTGCACATATTAAAAAAAACTCCCACATTAGCACTGATCAAATGCCTATTAGAAGTGGCACACTCGATTGCTCACCATTTGACTTAATTTTGGCTCTTTTTTTTTTCACCTTAGTAGTCACCATCTGGAGAAACGGAAATGCAACACTGCCACATGTGTGACACAACGTTTGGCTGACTTTTTAGTTCGTTCTGGCAACAACATTGGAGCAATTTATTCACCTACAAATGTGGGATCAAACACATACGGAAAGAGGGACACAGTTGGGCTTTCAAGCAGAGAATCCCAAAACAATGCACAGCTTTAGTGTGTTAAATCTACTACTGATATAGTTTTCGATTTTTAATGTATCAATAACCCCTCAGTTATTACTTGTACAGTCTTAACAGTGCCTTGTTTTCTGTGTATGCCTGTGTGTGTGTGATTTACGTTCATCCTTTCACTATGCATGTACAATGACATGCATAGGCTATTGTTTCAACTCCATTAAGAACTCCAGAAATCTGCTTGTCAAATTCCTTTGTAAAAAAAAATAATAAAAAGATAAATGTATATCACAATAATAAATAGACAAGGAATTGCAACAGGGCTTTTTATTATTATTATTATTAATTATTATTATTATTAAAAGGATGAAAAAGATAACCATGATGTCTATGTCTTTATGGTCAGTTTGGTAAGAGGAAGAAATTATCTTAATTAAGACCAAAAAAAGTCAGAATGCTGACAGAAGTTATGGCCTAATGAAAATGAAACAGAAGAATCTTCTAGGTTTGAAACATGTACAGCATCTTCTTTTGCACCATGGAAGGAACAACTACATGAGACAAGAAAGCTGCATTGTGCATATGATCACACCAGTTAACTGACTGGTCTCTTTCCACCTTAACATGCATTAAGCAAGTAGAAGTGCTTAGAATCAGCACAGATCTCCATACATTCTGAGCATGAGATTTAAAGAATTTACACTTATTACTTTTAAGATGATATCCAGTAAAATGTAAGCAGAATGGGGGTGTTTTCAAATGTGAACAAAAGAAAACTCAGTTAACAAGCTGGCAGAAACACCTGCCCTTGGTATTCCTTTCCTTGAATCAGAGTTACAAAGGGAAGAGGAAAAAAAAACAACAACGAACAGTTCAAGCACCAAAACATGATAGAAACAGGGTAAATTTGCCCACTGGTGTACTTACATTGCTACCAAAATCCGAGGAAACTATTTTAGAGATGGGTGGATCTTAGGAAATTCAACAGTGTTATTTTCTCCTACCTCAGCCCAGTATCAGTGCAGATTTAATAAACATGTTTGTTCCTTTAAATTGCCAAGCAAACTCATAGAGATGACATCCTAGATCACAGCAACGGCTGTTCTGTTCATCATTTTCTCAGTGAAGAGTTCACTATCATCTGAAAAATATTATTTTCCAATTATGAAAAAAATTCAGCAGAAACTTAGTTCTGGAGAAGAAAATGAAATCTTAATAACAGCCTTTAATTGATTTGTTTCTATTATAAAGTATTCCTCAAAACACAAACATTTTTGTAAAGTTTAATGTTAAATGGCATCTTCATTTCACAAATAATACATGCGAATAAAAACTACTGCACAGTATTTCTGCTGTAAAAATGTTAATGATTATTGCAAAAAAGTTTCAAATGTCATTAATGCTTTAATGGATATTTATTCTGAATTTCATTGAGAAAGCCATTCATATGGTATTAAACTTGCTAATATTTCTGCCAGCTTGAAGCGGTTTCCATTGAAGCTATTTTTGAGATATATTATACACCCATTTTGTGCTTAATTTGTTTTTCAGCTAGAATATTTACTTTTCAGAAGATAAATGAGAATGTGACAGGATAGCTCTGGAGTGTCACTGTGACGTTTGTACAGAACAGTAACCAAGTGGAGTCTTCACTGTGGGTGGATGACGATTCTAGGCTGATCCCAACCTGAAATACATACAGTGCTTTATGCATCAGCTTTTGTTCATTAAGTTACCATCTGACAAATCAAAATGAAGCGTGGTCTGTCTATCCACGGGTTCAGTGGAACTGTCTACATCATTTTCTGCCTTGTGTACTCCTGAACCAGATGGATGCATGGTTGTCCTATTTAGCAAATACTAAAAAATGTTATTCATCTCCCAAATCAGTGAAACAAAGAGGGTTAAAAGATATATCGATAGCTCAGAGGGTGATCATCTCACGTATCTTCAGCTGCTTTTTGTCTAACCAGTTGTCAGTGCCTTCCTGCTCTTCGGTGGAGAAAGACAACTACTTCCAACTCATCCCAGCTTAGAAGTCTATTTTAGAATGGGATGAATCACACTCTTGAAGTACCTCTATTTTTTCATTGACAATAAACAGTGTCTAGACAATTAGCTGAAAATGGGCACTTAAAATAACTAGTTAGGTGGCACCAATCCCACCTGCAGTCAGTATGAACTGTGCAACCTAAACAAAAAAAGTTTCAAAAAGAAAAAGCCCAAAATAAAACCAAAACAAAAAGAAAACCACACCTCAGACTCCAAATCATCTCTCATATTCTGAACTACAGTAGTTAATCCATTAGTCAGAGAATCTTTAGAAATCGCCTACACTGTTTTCCCATATATACCCTCAAGAACACAACTCTGCTACCCTTCCTCCTGCTGTGTAGTTGCCACTAGCTGCACTTAAACCTCTTAGAGAAGGGTCTACCCATGGTAGGCCTGGATACAAGCACAGTGTTGAGAGTATGAGCCCGGAAAAGCGAACTTACTTAAAAACAAGAAGGAAAAAAAAATAAAGAGACAAATTAAACATCATTACTTCGTCAGACCCCAAGCAGCATAATTCCAGATGCTTCACAGTATGAAGACTGCCAGTTGAAACCTAGTTAAATAACAAAAATCAAGTGCCTCTATGCATTTTTAATATTCCCAATATTTACTTATTTGCAGCTTTACGGACATAAATATTTTTTAAGAATCAAGTCTGTCATAGCTTTTGTTCTTCTTCATCTGGATGCCCTACATCTTTCAGAGATTATGCAAGAAAAAAAAATACAAAAGAGTAAAGTGCAGAGGAGAATGTAGACAATGTGATAAACATGGCTATATTCCCTTTAAAAATAAAAATACTAAATCTCTGCTTTTTAGTATCTTCTATTATGTTGTCTTTAAAAGGAATAGAATAGGGACACAATATTGAATTTCACTAAATGAGAGTGAGAAGAATAAAAGTCATCAAACAAGCAAAAGGAATATTAATAAAAAAAAAAAGATGACATGAAGAATATTTTAAATGGAGTACTGGGCCCTAGGGTCTAATATGTCTCAGAAACTATGACAGCTTCATAAAAGACAGAATTTATGTTTTTTTCATGATGAATAGAGTCGAGGTAAGAAATTGATTTCACTTGTGAAAGCTTGGGCTAAAACTAAGAAAGCACACAATATTTGTGGAACATAAAGTGTACTTTTATTGAATAGTATATTTTTAACTAAGACTTTCAATTTCTATTAAGAAAAATATAAATATTTTTCAAATAAAAAAGATTCATGGTCAGAGCTTTAAATACTAGGTTGGCAAAGCTTCCATTCACTTTCAACAGGATAGTGTTATTAGCAAGTCTGGATTTTACTAGATGGCTTTCTAAAACTATTTGAAAGCTAATACATTGATACTGTGAATAAAATCCATTTCCTGTAATGCACTGTTGAATATCTTCAGTACCTGCCATCTTCACTTTCTAGAATTACACTCGGTTTGAGACAATTAGCTTACAAATACAGTTTGACAAGTATGCTAGACTCTTTTTGTTCAGTTATAAGGTTAAGTAATTTTGTTGTCTAGCTTCATTATCATATAGGAAACAGACTGCTCTACACTGGTTTTGCAATGGAACTAGCAAAAAGCTGTGGTTAGGTATGACACATCTCTTTGCTCTATACAGAATATAAAAATGATGGTTGAAGTAACATGAAACAGAACCATTCTACGGGATGTGCCAACTTCTGCTTGAATCATCTTACTGTTACTTCTTTCTTTCCACACTCAGGAAGAAACCTACACTGAAAAATAAAGTATTTTTGTGGAGCTGTGTAAGTTTCAATAACCTGGATTCAGACATGAAACCCACCATTTAAACTAAGATACAATTTAGGAACAAGGCCCCCCAAAATCTGGATTCTCTACTCATTAGTTTTTCTCTGAAAACATTAGACAAATTTGTTTCCAGATTTGACTGCCATGAAAACTACATATCCTTACCTAGATACAGTTGAGAAGTGTTCCTCTAACTAAAACCTATCTTCATATAAAGCGTTAAAAAAATTTTCAAGAGAGGAATCATATATGCCATCAAATGTTGAAAGTCATGACACCAGAAGTTCACTAAAGAATGAGACGATGGTGATAAGACAATAGTTAAAACTGCTTTCATTATGCAACAAATTTTCTCCTTGAATGCTAAACTATCTGAACAAAAAGAACACATCCATATGCATTTTAAACCTAACAATAGGGCTGATTTGAGTAGCAATCATGCTATAAAGTCACTATTCCCTAGAAATGCTTTTATAAATACAAAATAAGTTTAATTATTCAAATTGAGACTCTTAGCCCTGCCCTGCTTTAATAACATTTTTCCTTCACCTTAAAGATTCTTTTTGATTCCGCATTGGAGACAGAGAAACTGTTTCTTATAGGCTACTTGACAATATTCTTAATATAAATTATTACTGCAAAGGTAACCTGAGATCGCTGTGGAACAACTACTGACACCAGGGATGATAGAAACTTATTGAACTGAATTTCTTCACTTATGGTGGGGTTTGGGGGGGGGGGGGGGGGCAGTAGAGGGGTGTTTTGCTTTTAAAAAGGAATTAAAATACTGGGATGTATTAAAATAATTAGAGTTGTATTAAATATCTCATTACATGTGTAAAGTGAAATAGAATCATTTAGGTATGAAATACTACTCAATATGATTAAAATCTGACTAAAATCAGAACCTGCTTATTATTTACCCTGTCAACAGAGTCAGATAGCTTTATTCAAACAGAATCAGCCCTTTCTCATTAAGGAGTTCCTTTGGAAGGGATCAAAGTGGGACTTACCTCCACTAAGGGGATTGTAAAAATCTAATCAGCCTGTGACTGTCAGTCAAGCACTGAAGAAGCTGGGTTTTGGGGGTTTAGCTTTTTTTTCTTAACAGGGAGATGGAGAAGGGGGTCATAAAAACTGGCAGAAGAGAGAAATAATGTCAAGTTTGCAAATTATTTCAATACTTTTTCCAGGATCAGTAAGCAAATGGTAGCTATTTTATTTATTCCTAAATTATTTGCTGTGTTACAATACAGGAAGGAGAGAGCAAAAACTAAGATCATGGGACAATACATTACTTCTTCCAGAGAAAATATAGATAAGAAGCACGCTGAGAAAACGGGGTGGATCTTAGGAGCAAACACTGCCTCACTGCTCCAAGCACCACTTCAGAATTCAGGGTAACCCATAGAATCACAGAATCGTTCACACTGGAAAAGACCTTTAAGACCATAAAGTCCAAACACTAACCTAGCCTCCTCCAGACTAAACA